AATCAATACTACAATCTGTGGAAAAAAATTAAAATACATAACAGCAATGTTTCACTGTAATATTTGTTGTAGATTAACCTACTGTTTTTGACTAGATTGAGCAATGAGAAAATTCATATTTTACTAGAAGTTGCAATTCAACAACGAGTGTCCCAGTGTGACAAAGAGAAGCTGACACTTTTTGTGCAACAGTTGATACACACTTGAAAAACCAAAACAACAATGTCCAACTAACAGGATCCTTATAAATGATCAAGTTAGTGATGATGCTCATTTTCACTCAAAATTCTTTAACCAGAAAGATTTTATGGCAGCCAATCATTTTCAGAAGCCTTGATAACATCCTTTTGAAGAAGTATATGAGGCTGAGTCAAAGAAAGAAACTTGGAATTAAAAAAACCTGACCCAACCAGTCAAAGCAGTATCCTGAGTCATCAATAACTGTCAGAGAACAACATTCCAGTAAGACACTGAAGGCAGCAAAACCTCACGCTACCACAGACTTCAAATCTTGCAGATAAGCTGGACAGAAATACTCTGTCACATTTTGTAGGGGGAGTAGGCTCAGGGAGGTCAGTCTGCCCTCAAGTTCTTCACAACCCAATAAAGACATGAAGCTGGCAAAATTCAGGCCCACTGAATGGTGATGATGGGAAAAGAGAGAGGTAAGTTACAAAGCAAGTACAGTCTGATACTGTGCAAGCGACACTCGACCCAGAGAGCCTGCTTCTGAGCAAGTGTGCTGCCAGGGAGGAGAAAGACCTGGAAAGTCATCAGTTTGAAGCTACTGCCACATACTTCTAACCTGTTTCAATCTGCTTTTCAAAAGCAGAGGAACAGAGATCCCAATTTCAACAGTAAAGCACCTGGGATGAAGTTTCATGCAAAGTAAGTTTTTACACTCTTAATTTCTGTAGCCTGACTTATTTTCCTAAGTAGTATGAATTTGGGTCATATCTACTTTCTGAATTGTCCTACTTCATAATTAGAGACTATGGAAAGAACCCTGTGGTATGAAGCTCAAAAAACCCCCAAATACTTTCATATTATGTGTACTGTTATTACTATTTTGTTTTAATCTTCACAGCGTAAAATGGTTTGGGGGTCAGAAGATAAACACAGGCTTATCCTGCAGTAGAATCCTCTGTCACCCTGGAGCAGAGAGAGGTTCCCAGAAAGCCAGGCAGGGTGTTGTCACTAGCTGTATTATCCATTTATACAGGTCAGCTTTTCACCACACCCATGGGTAATCCCCAGCGCAGCCACACAGCTGATGACATATCTGAAAGTTTATTTTTAAACAGTTCTTCGTGTAACCTGATGAGTTGGAAGGGAAGTGAAAGCTTAACTGGCTTAACAACATAGTGCCATACCTTCGCTCAGAAGGGTGAGAGCACTGTCTAACCACCATGCTATGGATCACTCCTCACCTCGGCTGCAGATAAACTCCCAGGAAACTGCCCTTTTCCAGCACGCTGATAAGGATGCAAACAAACGAATCTCAGCGGCTGCTACGCCAAAGCAAGCAGTTCCCAAAGCTCCTACGGCTGCTCGTTGCCTGCTTGCAGATAACGACCCCACAATTCTGTCCTCCATTTAATGTCAGGCTTCCAGTTGGAGCCAGGATAATTTTTGTAGAGCCAGGTTAGGGAGTGATGAGATTAAATCAGAAAACCTGTAGGAGTAGGAATTGTAATTTATGTTAGCATCAGCAATTGTATCTTGTCCAACAGTCCAGAAATCTGCTCAATGGAAAGAGGAGTATGTAGATAAATAACTTGTAGGACGATCCTACATGATTAAGATCATGTAGCAACAGGAACTTGTAAAACTCTTGCCTGCCTTGAGTGACTGACTTCTACTCATACCAATACTAACTTCTCCAGAGCTTCACACCTCACGTAGCACATCCTCTGTGCAAGAAACACAAATGCCATCTTTAGTCCCCCATGGATTCAAACAACATTCAGCTCCACCCAGCAGAGAAGCGAGCTGGAGAGTGTTCCTGGAACGGGACTTGGACAAAGTAAAGCAACATGTTAACTTCTGCATAAAGTGTTGGAGGACAGTGGTTATCCAGATCCACAAGAGCAGGCAAGATGATCAGGTGTCAGCAATGAAAGAGCTTTTCATCTTCAGGGACAGTGTTCTCAGGGAAAAACAAACAAAAAAAGAAGTAGGAATCTCTGGTCTCCCTACTACATTAATCTTCATTTTGCCCTCCCATCTACTTCTTCAACCCAATAAAGTGGGGCCCAAAACCATGCTTTTGGGTGGAAAAATACTTACATGCTTTTTATCCCCTCACTCATCTTGCTTACCTGATCAAATATGGAAAACTCCTCTT